TTATCTAAGAATTTTTTGTCTTGCTAGGGATACCCCTTTCTTGGCCCTTTGGTTAAAGAATACAGGCTCATGTTGGGGCTTTGCAATATTTTTATGTTTTTGTGTTTTTGTGTTCCTGGTTCTTCAGCTCCAAGTCTGGGGTATATGAAGCAAAAAACCCCACAATCACCATATCATTCCTCTTTTCCTGAGGTTCCTACCTGACCTACCTTCTCTCTACTTTTCAGTCTGAGTTTTTAGATATACTTAATGGGAAAAATAAGGAAAATTATATTTGTCTACTCCATTTTCCTACAATAATTCACTTTTAGGTTGAAATTTTTAGTTTATAAAGTATAATTTAATTATTTTATCCAACAATATATGCCAGTAGTATTACTAACAATTTGATAGATGAGAATAGTATTTCTTTGTAGTTCTTTTTGTGCTCATCTCAACATTTCTACACAAAAAATGCATAAGATGTAAATTTAAAATTTTGAGTTGATCTACACCAGTAGGAACTGTAACAGTAGATGAAACAACACACTGGAATTTGTATAGTTGAAAAGGCCAGAGGCTATGTAACTTGAAGCAGAATGGGGGCAGACAAATATGCAGATCTCTTGACTCTTTGTCCAGTGTTCCAACAAGAAGTTATCTCTCAAAATGAAAAAATTTTTCTTATAACTCTCAGAAAATGTATTCCTGAAACACTTGGTTTTGTAACCCGAAACATACTGACCTACAATACTAACTGAATTGTATCCTCTGATTTTGAAAGTATAATTGCACCTTGATTTTGAAAAATCTAAAACTTAAAGCTTCATAAAGTCAGCTTTAAGAATTTTATCAGCTGGGGCATTTGGCAAAATACCAGAGCAATTGTCAGGCATCAAGAATGGAGCTACCCTCCGTTTTCTCTACTGCTCACTGAGAACAATTTTCCCCAATCCCTACTGCCAATAACCTGTCTTTCAGCCAGTCTCACAAGCCAGAAATTGTCAAATCAGCCTTCAGTCCCATCAGAGTAGCCTTCAAATTGACCATTTGTTCCTCAGATATGAACAGTGATTTAATATCTAAAGGATCATATCCCAGCTATTATAGTCTCAGACAGCAGTCAAGGTCTCTGATAACCTAATTCAAGCTTTCATTTCCAATATTATTTTTTCTTTTATCTTATCAGGAGCCCTCTACACCAGCAAGACTAGTTTCCCGCTGGTTCCTACAGATGCTGTATTCACTCTCGCTCTGAGCCTTTTGTTCCTATAGTACATTTGCCCTTGCCTTTCCCTTCCTCTCCAGATATTAAGATTCCATCCATTCTTCAGATTTGAATGATTAAAAATTCTGCTCTCAATTCTTAGAATACAGTCTTGGTCAGTTCTTCAGACTTGTATTTATTAAGGAAGAAACCTGATCTTATACACACATACATATATATGATGATATAACCAAGTAGGATTTATTCAAAGGAATGTGATATTCGTTAACATAAAAATTCAGTCAATGTACTCCTCTATTAAAAGTGTGAAGAAAGGGGCGCCTGGGTGGCTCAGTTGGTTGAGCAACTGCCTTCGGCTCAGGTCATGATCCTGGAGTCCCGGGATCGAGTCCCGCATCGGGCTCCTTGCTCGGCGGGGAGTCTGCTTCTCCTGCTGACCTCTCTACTCTCATGCTCTCTCTGTCTCTCAAATAAATAAATAAAACCTTTAAAAAAAAAAGTGTGAAGAAAAAATAAGGTCATGTTGATCCAGTGCAGAAAATGAATATGACAAAATACCACCATTTGTGATAAAAACAAACAAACAAACCTCACAGCACACTAGGAATACAAGGGAATGTCCTTATTCTGATAACAGATAAGCACAAATTAAAGCTCACACATGAAATGGTAAAATACTGAATGTTATTATTTGTATTCAACATTGCACTGGCTTGCACCATATAGTACTATAATGTAAGAAAAGAATTTAAAAGGTATTACGAGTAGAAAAGAAAAAATAAGATGGCCATTATTTACATATGATGATTGTATATGCAGAAATTCCAAAAGAATATACAAATAAGCTATTAGAAGAAAGTGAATTTATCAAGGTTACTGGACATAAGGTCAATATACAAAAATCAGTTGTATTTCTATGTACTAGTAAGAAATAATTGGAAAATGAAGTTTAAAAAATACTGTTTGCAGTAGTACAGTGAGCACGTCGTGTCCTCTCATGATTCCTTGTCATTGCACAAACTTTTCCTCTGATGTGAATGCCTTTCCATCTACCTCCACACACCTACCTATTGAATTCCTACATTTCTTTCCAGTCTCTCTTCCTTCTTATAATTCCTTATAACTCTTAAAGCATTCTTTCTTCCCCTTCCTAAGAATTTTTTTTTTAAGGTTTTATTTATTTGGGAGAGAGAGAGCCAGAGATAGTGAGAGAGCACAAGTGGGGAGGAGTGGGAGAAGCAGACTCCCCACTGAGTAGGGAACCCAATGCCAGACTCTCTCCCAGGACCCTGGGATCATGACCTGGGCCAAAGGCAGACACTTAACTGAGCTACCCAGGCACCACCCCCTTCCCAAGTAGTTTTTAAACTCTAATTCACAAGCAATTTTTCTTGAAAAAACAAAAAGTAACAAAGTGCCAAACATAGAAAAGTGATAAAGGTGGAGCTTTTGACCCAAGAATGTAGAATGAACTCAGAGCCATGACTTTCTAAAAACATCTGCAAATCACAGATTGAAACTTACATATTTTAGATACCCAAAGACCCTAAAATTGCTACTATAATTAATATCTCTAAAAAAATGAATCTTTCTCCCACTTTATAGAAGATAAGGTCAGCAGGAGGAAATTCCTTCACCTCAAATCAAACAGGAACTTATCTGCATTCCCATCTTTCTGTAGGCTTTTTCCTCCACCCTAAAGTTAATTTCTACACCTGTGTTCTAACCCTGATTCCCTTAGAACATTGCAGAAAATGTGTCCCACCTAATGCTCTCCTTTAATTCACCCTCAGCATGTGTATGCAGTTGTCCCATTAACACAGAAATCATTTTCTCCCCTCTAAACACAGCCTTCTTTTCTTCTCTTCCTTTAAGCTTCTTGAAACATGTCTGAAACAGCCCACTAGTTCTCACCTTCCTATTAATAATCCAACCTAGAATAATCTGGCTTCCATTCACCATAAATCACTGAAGTCTCCAGTACTGTCCTGGTTACCAATTCCAGTTTACTCCTTGTGACTTGATTTGTGGCACCTAACACTACTGACCATCCGATGACATTCATTTCACCTTTGGGCTCAGTGACATCACTCTTCTGGCTGTAGAGCCATTTCATTTCATCTAGTTCAATTCCTCCTCTTTGAACAGCTTTGACCAGTTCCTTATATATTGATGTTTTCCTGGGTTTTAACTGTGACTCCTTTGTTTCTCATTCTAATCCTGTTCTCTGCTGACGAATTTCATATACCGTGGTTTTGACTACCAACTCTATTTTAATTAGTCCTAATACTAGTCTACTGGCTCATAATTCCCTCTTGGATCCATACGATCAACTTTAACATGTGCCAGATCACACTGGTTCACTCCTGTATTGCCTGCTTGGCGAATGGCACCATCAACCATCCAGTTAACCAGAAGAAGCCTGGGAGTCAACCCACCTTCCTTCTTAACTCACCACTCCCAATAATTTGATTGTAAAAACCGTATTTTACCACGTTAATATTTGTCACACATTTTTCACTTCCCTGCCCCCTGCTTGAGTTTAGAGCCTCATTTACCTATCATTCAAGTTACTGTCACAGCCCATACTCTAGGCTCCAGTCTGCTCAGTTGTCCTCAACCTCCTAAACTCATTCTCCATACATTATTGTCAGAGCAATTTCCTTTATGTATCATCTTTCATCAGTTCCATAATTCAGAATCAAATTCAGGTTCCTTAGAATGGCATTTAAGACCTTTGGTTATCTGGTGTCTGCCTCCTTCTCAAGCTTCAACATCTGTCATTCTCATTTCTTAATAGATGTTCTACAAATGTGCCATGCTGTCACGCACCTGGATCTTTGCATGTGTGGCTGTCTCTCTTTTAAGTACTTATCTCACTCTCTGGAAAATTCCTCTTCTTCCAGAACTGGGCTCAGACATCCCTGTCTCTGGGACACTAAATCCAATCAAGCTCTCTTGGTTAGACTCCATTCCTTCTTTCTGAATTCTGAGCAAATGTCTGCAAGATGTTCTGTAACACGGTACCTCTGTACCATCTCTTTCTCTGTGAAAACTTCAAGACATTATGATAATTTGCTTATTTACTCACTATTCCCTTCAGCCCCATCCTCTCAATTCTTGACTTCTTGACTTCCTGTTTCTTTCTTCTCTACAATTTCCGGTGCCCAGGATGGTAACTGGTTCAACCCTGGGATTAAGCAAATATTTACTGAGTAAACCATTTCTAAGGTTTAGAATTATTTCCTTTATTTGCTTTTGCAGTCTGAATTTTTTAAAAAAATTGAAAACCTCAAGTAGGGAAAGCATGCTTTAATTTCATGAAATGGGTTTCTTTAAGACTTTGCCACAGTGACATATTCTTTAAATTATTTCTTAAGATTTCTTTTGCAGCCAACTAAAAAATATACTAATAGGTTTAACCTTGAAGTGACTGCCAAACAAACTATATTTTTTCTACTTAAATTAACATGCTGTTCAGAACACAGCAACTGGGGGGTATAGCTCAGTGGTAGAGCATTTGACTGCAGAACACAGCAAGTACAGTTCAACAATAAATGACTTCAATGCAACAAATAAATATATTTCTGAGAACAAAATTAGAAATTGTGCAAAAACTTTTTGGGAGACTGTTAGATGTAGTTTGGAAACAACTAGAAGAATAAAGGAGTAAGAGAACACCTTTTTTTCCTTTCTCTTTTTTAATGAAAACCATGCACAAAGTTTGACAACAATTTAGGAAAAGGCAAATTCCAGAGACTGAGGTAGTTTCCAGGGTTTTGTTTTTTTTTTTATCTATTATTTGGTCTACATATGCATATATTTTAAGATCAGTTCTGTTTGCTATTAAAATGTTAGTTCTAATAAATGTGCTACTGGCTTATACAGTTGGTGTCTTTCTAATGAGAAATCCAGCACTCCTACACCCAGATTTTTCTCATGTTTATACATCACATATAGTATATAATACTGTATAAAAAGATAGAAAAACCCCACCTTACAGATGGTCAAAATTGTGGTTTTGCAATCAAATTACAATTGTGATTCCCTTATCTTAGGATATTTTTTAAAAAGTGACTGACAGGTATGAAAGTTTTCCACATATTTATTACATAGTCAGAGCTCTTTGTCCTTAGAATTTAATATCTGATGAGACAAAATTAAAATAGAAAAGTTTTCTTATGATCATGACATTTATTAAATCAATCTCAAGTATGTATACCCTGCTGAGCTTTGGTTTAAGGCTTTCACACATGCAAATCTACTTTCAAGGAATCCTCTTCAATGTGGATTTTATAATGATTAGTAAGAGATGACCTCTGGCTGAACAGTTTCCCACATGCATTACATTCATAGGGTTTCTCTCCAGTATGAATTCTCTGATGGGCAATAAGTGATGAGCTCTGTCTAAAAGTCTTCCCGCACGTGTTACATTCGAAGGGTTTTTCTCCTGTGTGAATCCTCTGATGTTGAATAAGAGCTGCACTTTGGCCAAAAGAGATCCCACATTCCAGACACCGGTATGGTTTCTCTCCTGTGTGGATTCTCTGATGGTTGCTAAGGGATGAGTTACACCGGAATGTTTTCCCACACTCGTTGCATTTGTAGGGTCTTTCTCCGGTATGCATCCTCTGATGCTGAATGAGAGCTGAACTCTGTCGGAAGGCTTTCCCACACACTTTGCATTTACACGGTTTCTCGCCAGTGTGAATTCTTTCATGGATGATAAGCGTCGAGTGGGAACTTAAGGCTTTACCACACTCGTTACAATTATACAGTTTCTCACCGGTATGAATTATTCGGTGTCTGTTAAGTCTTGAAATAGAAGTAAAACCTTTTCCACATTCGTTACATCGATAGGGCTTTTCTCCAGTGTGAATTCTTTCGTGCTGGATAAGAGACGCGCTCTGACTGAAGGCTCTCCCACATTCACTGCACTTAAAAGGTTTCTCTCCCGTGTGAATCCTCTGATGATAACGAAGGGATGAGCTCGACTTAAAGGTGTTGCCGCATTCATTACATAAATAGGACTTCTTTCTGAGGTGAATTCTCTGACATCCGGGAAGGGATGTGCTGGCTGCCTTCCTACCTGGATTGTATCTGTGGGGATTTTCTCGAGCGTGGATTTTTTGATGTATAAAAAGGCCAGACCTTCTGCTGAAGGATTTACCACATTCTTTACATCGATAGGATTTCTCCACAGTGTGGATTCTTAGATGTTTGCAGAGGGATGCACTGTGGCTGAAAGCTTTCCCACATTCTTTACAGATGTAGGGTTTCTCTCCAGTATGAGTTCTTTGATGCTGAATAAGAGCCGAACTTTGGCTGAAAGCTTTCAAACATTCCTTACATTTAAATAATTTCTCTCCAGTGTGGTTTTTCTGGTGTTTACGAAGGGAAGAATTGTGAATGAAGGCTTTTTCACATATATTACATTTATACCGCTTTTCTGCTGTTTTGATTTTTGGTTGGCTAAGTAAGTTTGAATTCTGCTTGAAGCTATTTCTTTGTATTTCATATTTTGAGGGTGTTTTTTCTCTAGCAACCCTCTGTTGCTTAACAAAGACTGATTTCAGGCTGAAATTTTGGCCAAAGTTGCTATTTTTATGGCTTTTTTCTACAGGGAGAATTTTTGTATGGGTGATTGAAATTATTTGTAAACTTTCATTTTTGTCCTTTTGTTTCTTTAATCTGTCTTCATATATGCAGGGTTTTTCTGAGAGGAAACTCCAGGGTTCATCCCTTTTGAGTCTTTTCCTTCTTAGCCCCTGAAATGATGAATCTTGGGTTTGAGTTGACTTTGTAGTTTTAGGACTGCTCTTACAACCTGAAAAAAAAAAAAAAAAAAAAAAAAAAAAACCACTAATGATTCACACAATTGGCTGAGACTTACTGTGTAGAAAGAATAAATACTAATGATATTTAAATAAGGGTTTGCTTTCTGGCTAAAAGATACTAGCAAGAGGAAAAAATAGGAAAGTAACACATATAAAACAATAATGGATGAAGGCAGAAGGACTAGGGTAACTAAAAGAATAAAGGAAGCTCATTTAAGGAAGGCAACCAGGAGAATGAATGGGAAGACAGGATTAGAAAAGTATGAATTAAGTACAGTCTGATATCCAAAGCCTATGACAGACTTTTACATTATTTATATGCCATTGTTCTCATTTATGTAATTGTTTCTAATGTTGAATGTCATTCCTCCTTTTTCTACGTGCCAAACTCCTCTGTAGCCTTCAGATTCAGTTCCAATGTTAATTTCTCTGTGTACCCTTTCGTGAATCCAGCTCCAACAATCCATTGCCCTTATTATTACCACTTACTGTGGTATTTTACAAAGTAGGTACCGAAGGGGAAAAACTGTGAGTATACTTAGAGACCGTGAGAAAGCCTTCAAAAAAACTCAGCACCACTGATAGTAAAACATTCAAGAAAATAAGAATTGATGGATACTTCCTGAATATGCTAAAGTACATATAGTTTGGTCCTAAAACCAGTATCCTATTTAATGAAGAAAGACTAGAAGCATTTCTGCTATGATCAAGAACAATGGGTGTCTAGCTGACTCAGTAGGTAGAGCATGTGACTTTTAATCTTGGGGTTGTGAGTTTGAGCCCCATGATGGGTATAGAGATTACTTAAAAATAAAATCTTTAAAAAAAAAAAAAAAAAGAACAAGACAAGAATGCCCATTATTTTCACTTCTACTCAACATTCCTAGTAGATATCTTAATCAATTCAGTTACATAAGAAAAACCAATTAGATGAACAAGGATGAGTAAAGAGGAAATGAGGAAATAAACCTACCTCTATTTGCTGGTGTTATAATACCCTATCTACATAACTCCAGAAAATCAATGATAAAACTTGATCAGTCTTGTAGCAGATATAAAATTAACATGCTGAAGTCAATAATCTTCATTGACACTACCAAAGAATTGGTGGAATGAATTTACAACAAATATTAAAAAAACTTATATGAGGAAAATTTTAAATAGTCCTGAATGATATTAAAGTATACCTAAACAAATGGAACAACCACTCCTATGCTTGGATAGAACCACTCAATGTTATAAAAATATAATGATATTTTAAAGAAAGTATGTAAAGATATTTTAAGTCCTATATAGAGATAGGACTCAGCTTACATTTGAGGACAGATAATTCTTTGGTGTGGGGCTGCCCTGTGCATCAGCACCTACCCTTTCTACCACTCCTGCCCTTCCTCAAGCTGTGACAATCCAGTGTTTCAAATTGTGTGTGTGTGTGTGTGTGTGTGTGTGTGTGTATGCTTAAAGTTTCCATAATAAACTAAAAACTAAATCTTCTTCCACTTTTCTGTCATTCCTTGCATAAGAGTGAGTGGGTTAATCCTTTTCCTCTTAAAGATCATATCTAATAAGAGACTTGCAATTTTAAAAGGTTTCTGCACATGAATTTTAAAATATCAATATACAAAGGAAAAGATCTTTAAAAAAACACTTTCACTTAAAAAAATATACTTCCTAAGTAAAAAATCAGAATACTTACAGAATGATAAAACTTATGTTGAAATAGTAAATACCAAAGCTTTCTGGGTAACTGAAGACAATGGTAGGTGGATAGTAAGCAAACTGTCAAACTTTACCAAATGATAAGAAATAACTTTATAACTGTGAGACTTCTTTTTTTGTTTATTAAAATTTTTATTTAAATTCTAGTTAACATATACTGTAATATTGATTTCAGGAGTAGAATTTACATATAACACCCAGTGCTCATCATAACAAGTGCCCACCCATCACCCACTTTTAAGTGGTGATGGAAGGTTTTACCACACTCATTACCAGCTAACTGTGAGACTTCTATCCAAATCCTCCTCGTCAACATTACTTGAGAAAGAAGAAAGAAAATGCCAAACCTTGTAAAATAAATGTGAGTCAAAAGAGTAATAAGTGGACATTAAGGAAGATGGCAGAGTAGGAAGCTCCAGGATTATGTTTCCCCACCTAAGACAACAAATGAACTGGCAGAATCTGGCTGCTCCAATGATTTTGAAACTGTGGAATCTAACTGAAGGCTGGCAGCTTCTAGGGCAAAGCCTGGTTGATAAATTGTAGGTAGTTCAGTCGCTAGCCGCTACCCATGCCCCAGCCCGCAGCCCCATGGCAGGCAGCTATACTGACAGTCCTTAGGTGGCTTGCAGAAGCTAGGGTGAAAAGAGCCTTGTTCTTCAATTACTGTAGATCTGAGTTCTGACTGAGGATTATTGCTTGGGGTCATGGAGGTACAGACACAAAGGCAACCTGCCATTGTTGCCCCACTGGCTGAAACAACTGCCAGGGGATTTAAGGGTCAGAGCCTGTCTTTCCCCTACCCTCTCCCATTCACATTTTACCTTTTTCCCACATTGGGCAAACATATTTATAAGGACATCCAAAACTAACTGCATACATGGGAAATTTAGAAGGTCACCATACATGCCAAGGGAAGGGCAGAAGCTCAGAAAAGACATGAGAATACCTTTGGTTTATATCTCAGGCCGGTCCATGGCACAGAGACACCTGACAATAATAAAAAATTAGTTATATGTAAAAATACATGTATTCATATATACAACTATCATTTTTCCCTGTTGTAAAGTGATTTTACTGAATTGATTTGGACATACTGTAGGTCAAATAATATTTTCCAAATATAACAATTATGGACTTTTAAACTTGACATAAGATTAGTAACTTCAGCAGTATTAGTCATATTCCCCATCAACAACATGATAAAATAATTCAATTATGTAGAAATACAGAACTCTAGGACTAGCTGGAAACTTGGAAATCACTTAGGATAATATTTTCATTTCATGAGAAAACTAGACTCAAATAGTAAGCAATTTACCCAAATTCAAATATCTTACAGTAATAAAGCTGGCCTGGCAGAGGCTTTATCAAATAACTAAAGTAGCCCTCTCTTTGTGAAAAGGAGGAAATATATGAGAAGGAAATCACTCTGGGAAAGGGGAAAAATCTAGTTCCCAGAGTTATGACATTATAAAATTCAAATGTCTAGTTGGCAACAAAAAATCAGAAGGCACACACACACAAAAAGATATGACTCATTCAGAGCAACAAAATAAATAGACAAAAGACATCTATGAGGAAGAAATAAAGGTGGATATACTACACAAAAACTTTTTTTAATTTTTCTTAAGATTTTATTTGACAGAGAGAGGCAGCAAGAGAGGGAACACAAGCAGGGGGGTGGGAGAGGGAGAAGCAGGCTTCCTGCTGGGCAGGGAACTCAATGAGGGGCTCTATCCCAGGACCCTGGCATCATGACCTGAGCCGAAGGCAGATCCTTACTGACTGAGCCACCCAGGCACCCCACACGAAAACTTTTTTTTTTTTTTAATTTTTAATTTTTTCAGCGTAACAGTATTCATTATTTTTGCACCACACCCAGTGCTCCATGCAATCCGTGCCCTCTACAATACCCACCACCTGGATCCCCCAACCTCCCACCCCCGCCCCTTCAAAACCCTCAGATTGTTTTTCAGAGTCCATAGTCTCTCATGGTTCACCTCCCCTTCCAGTTTCCCTCAACTCCCTCTCCTCTCCATCTCCCCCTTGTCCTCCATGCTATTTGTTATGCTCCACAAATAAGCCACACAAAAACTTTTAAACAACACTTTTTAAGATGCTCAGGAGAGCTAAAGAAAGATATGGGTAAAGCCCATGAAAATGATTTTTTCAAAAAATGAAATATCAATAAAGAGAGAGAAAAATAGAAAACACAGAAAGAAAACAAAATGAAATTCTGGAGTTGAAAAGTGTAATAACTGAAAATTTCACTAGAGAAACTAAAAAATCAGATTTCAGCAGGCAGAAAAATCAGTGTACTTGAGGATAAGCCATATTAAAATTACTGAGTCTGAGGATGAACAACAAAAAATATTGAAGTGGAGAGATCCTAAGAGATCTGTGGGACACCATCGAATGGACCAAAATAGCATTGTGGAAATCCTAAAAGGGAAGAGGAAAGAGGGGAGAAGGAGCATTTGAAGACAATGGCTGAAAACTTCCCAAATTTGATGTGAGATATGAATCTACAAATTTATGAAGCATAATGAACTCCAAAAAGAATAAAGGCAAAGAGACCAACAATGAGACATATTATCACCAAACTGTCAAAACCCAAAGCCAAAAAGAGAATATTGAAAGCAGCAAAAGAGAAACAAGACTTATAACATACAAAGGATCTTCATTAAGATTATCAGATTTCTCATCAGGAACTTTGGAAGCAAGAAAGTATTGGGTTGATATAGTCTGAGTGCTGAAAGAAAAAAAAAAAAAAACACCTCAAAAGGGAATTCTCCATCTGGTAAACCATCCTTCGAAAATGATAAAGAGGGGCGCCTGGGTGGCTCAGTTGGTTAAGCCTCTGCCTCCGGCTCAGGTCATGATCTCAGGGTCCTGTGATTGAGCCCCACATCGTGGTCTCTGCTCAGCAGGGAGACCACTTCCCCTCCACCCCTGCCTCTCTACTTGTGATCTCTGTCTGTCAAATAAATAAATAAAGTATTTTTTTTTTAAATCATTGGTCTGTGTTTTAAGTCACACAATGTATAATGATGCAGTCCGTGACAACAGTAACTGAAAGGGGATGAGGATGCAAGTATACAGAAGCAGAGATTTTATACATTATTGTACTTAAGGTGGTATAAATTCAAATCACAGTGTTATGAATTTTGTATGTTAAATATAATCCCAATGGTAACCAAAAAGAAAATACCTACATAATATATATAAAAGAAAATTGGAGGGGAATTAAAATGTTTATCAACTAAAC